TTTCTTACTGTCTCAGTAAACACAAGCAACTATCTTTAGAAGAAGAAGAAATCAGAAATCCCAGTTATCTTTATTAAGTTACAACATTACATGGTTTAAAGTAGACGAATGTTAACTATGTAAAAGCTAAATAAAGCAAACACTAAATATTACATTAGATAAGCTCCTAAACTCTAAGATTCCTAATCAACAAAAGTTAAACTGAAATAACAAGCAAATTACAGTTCAATACAAGCTAAAAGTTACACATTAAATGACAAATAAAACTAAGATAAATCTTACACAGTAACTCAGCAGTGTACATCATATTTATGTAATTAAACTCAGACTCAAAGTCCATCAAAGCTTCTTCCAGGAGTTAAACTAAGCCCCAGAACCAATGCAGAACCAGCCAATCTCCATGGGCATGTTTGGAGAATTGGCACATGTTTGGAGAACTTCCTCAATTCTGCTATGACAGTTTGGATGATATAGATCCATCAATGTTATCTTCAAGTAACAGAAGCAGTTTCAGCAATTATCACTGTTTATTCTCAACTTCTAGAATTCCCCTCTCCATTCTTCTGCTGCCTATGCTGCATTATTGGACTCAACAACTATTACTTACTGGCTCTGTAATACTTTATATAACCTGCTTCAGCCTATCCAGCAGTTTTGATTTATTAGGTACATGAAAACAAAGCACTGAGAAGCATGAGATGGCCTTTGAACATTGTTCACAATTGAATAAGAGCATGGTCTTGTATCCACTTTTCCATTAACCCTTGACTTCCTTGTCTAATAGAAATCTATCTAACTTAGCCTTGAATCTGAATTCAATGATCCCAACCTCCACTGTTTTGTGGGGCAAGACAATTACGCAAACTAAAAATCAACTGGAAGTAAGAAGAAATGCTGCATCAGTTTTGATTTCCAAAGAAACTTGTGTGGCGAAGATGGGGTCAATTTCCTATCTCTGTTTCCTCTTTCACTAAGAGGCTTTATGAAACAACACAAGCTTGGCAACCATGGATTTCATTACAATCTCTAAAGTCTTCAATTGCTCTAGATTGAAATATGTACTTGTTTCTAATTTAATGCTTCTCTTGAAACAAGCTCTGAATATCTTCAAGAATAAAGGTGATGGGCTACTGAAGTAATTGAAGCCCTGAAGTTCCTAATAGTGTTCTCTAATAGGGACCCACTAAATTTGTATAAAGTTATCAGCATCATCGTCAAATATTAGCATCAAATATCAGCATCAAAATTAAAATGAATATAAAAACGAAAACAAACAGAGTTTAAATCAATACAAGGAGAAGAAAAGGATAAACATGGAAAATAAATTGCAAAGGATTTACTGGGAATTAAAGTATTTTGATTCTACGTAATATATTAAGTTTATTGATTTCAAGGAAATGGAGGAGGGGATTGTGGGAAAAATAATGACAGAAGCTTATTTTTAGCAATGCCTTTTGGACAGAAAATTCTCTGAAAGCTAAAGGAATATGAAATGTCTTTTGGTTTCGAAAGAAATGGTAATTAAAAGGCAGAATGCTGGGAAATGGAGCCAGTTGGAATACATTAAATAGTACCAATGAAAGTAAGAGTTAAAGCTGAGTTATGACAAGAAACATTGTAGCAAAAGAAAACCAGAAGCAGCACAACTGAATGTTTCAATACATTAAAAAGGTCAAAATTATGATTGCAGGAATCTTATTGTCAGATTAGCATTTATATGAGCAAAAAAGGTGGAATTTGTTATAATGGAAGCAGTGTATTTGCAATTAATGAGATCATTCCTGAAGATTAAAAGGCTGGCTGTGTGTAATAAAAGTATTAGAATTCTTTGAGAATGTAATAAAATTACTGAAGGCATTCTGACTCTAATTAGCATTTCTGTAGGAATCATCTCCTCCTATTTCCTTCAGGACTCCATGTATTTAATACTTTAAATTGCACAAAATTCAGTAACTCTTCCTAAATCTTTTGCAATTTATGTTTACAATTTTTCATTTCTCTTCTCACTTCACGTAATTTGAAACAATTTCTGTTTTCACTTCTTTTAACCTCATCTTAATTGTTTAATTTTAATGTTAACATTCTACTTGTATGTGGTTTATTTGGTTTGCATTTTCTCCTATTGTACAGACAGTCCCCAGTTTACTAGTGGGTTCCGCTTGTATGTTGACGCTTATGCAAGTTGGAACACAATGCAAATCAACACAGTATAATATAAAATAGCTATTCGTAAGTACACGGAAACATTTGCATGCCGAACCTTTAAAATTAATATTAATATGGGATCTTGTTTGTAAATACAAGCATTTGTAAATCAGAAATCTTAAACTGGGGACAACTTCTAAGATTTTCTTGAGGATTTCTGTCCCAAAACATCATCTCCTCAATTTGAGACTTTAAGTTTAGATTTTTATGTTAGTCTAATATTCCACTTTATGATTGCTTGTTTACAGTAAATATGCTGATATATTTGCCTCTGACCCAATATTTCCGTTCTGTTGAACTCTTTACCAACCAAGTCAGCACAGTCTCTTGGTCAGTCCCCAGGTTATGGATAGGTTATGTGTATGGGCAAAGATCTGCAAAATAGAGAATAATGTGGGAAATTTTGGTAGACAGAATTAAAAAAATATATCTGACAACTATGAGATTGCAGTGCTCAAAGTTGCAGAGGGATCTAGGTCTTCAAGTGCATGTATTGTAAAAGATTAGTGTGCAGATAAACAAGTAATTAGGAAAGCGAAAAGAATGTTATTGCTTGTTGTGAGGGGATTTGAATGCAAAAATAGAATTATACAGGATAAAGGTGAGACTACATTTGGTGTACTGTGTAGAGTAAATGCATTCCTATTTAAGGAAGGGTGTAAATGTGTTGGAGGTAGTTCATAGAAGTTTTAACAGATTAATACTTGGAAAAGTTAAGGTTGTCCTCTCAGGAAAGATTGGGCAGACTGGGCTTGTGTCTGAATTCAGAAGACTAAGAGGTCAGTCGACTGAAATAAACAAGATCCTGTGAGAGCTTCATCTGGAAAGAATGATTCTGCTGGTGGGAGAATCTAGAACTAGGGGTCACTATTCAAAAGTAAGAGGTTGCCCTTTGAGAAAGTTGAAGATTCTTTACCCACAGAGGGTTGAGAGTCTTTGGAACTCTTCCTCAAAACGCAGAGTCTTTAAAGGTTGTCAAGGCAATAGTTGATGGATTATCGGGGTGGGCAGGCATGTGGAGTTTCGTTTAAAATCAGATCAGCCATGACCTGCACATCTGCCAATGTGGTATACTGCATCCGCTGTACCCGGTGTGGCTTCCTCTACATCGGGGAAACCAAGCGGAGGCTCGGGGACCGCTTTGCAGAACACCTACGCTCGGTTTGCAACTGCACCTCCCAGTCGCGAACCATTTCAACTCCCCCTCCCATTCCTCAGACGACATGTCCATCCTGGGCCTCCTGCAGTGCCACAACGATGCCACCTGAAGGTTGCAGGAACAGCAACTCATATTCCGCTTGGGAACCCTGCAGCCCAATGGTATCAATGTGGATTTCACAAGCTTCAAAATCTCCCCTCCCCCTACCACATCCCAAAACCAGCCCAGCTCGTCCCTGCCTCCCTAACCTGTTCTTCCTCCCACCTATCCCCTCCTCCCACCTCAAGCCGCACCTCCATCTCCTACCGACTAACCTCATCCCGCCCCTTTGACCTGTCCATCCTCCCTGGACTGACCTATTCCCTCCCTAACTCCCCACCTACACTCACCTTTACTGGCCCCATCCCCGCCTCTTCGACCTGTATGTTTCCTCTCCACCTATCCTCCCCTCTATCCATCTTCTATCCGCCACCCACTCTCTCCCTATTTATTTCAGAACCCCCTTCCCCTCCCCCTTTTCTGACGAAGGGTCTAGGCCCGAAACGTCAGCCTTTCTGCTCCTATGATGCTGTTTGGCCTGCTGTGTTCATCCAACCCTGCACCTTGTTGTCTCGGATTCTCCAGCATCTGCAGTTCCTACTATCTCTCTCAGCCATGATATTATTGGATGGCAGACCAGGCTGGAAAGGCCTACTTGTGCTCATAATTCGTATGTAAGAAGTTCGTTGTGATATTTTTCAGTTAAAACATCCACCAAAACATTTAAGCGCACGTAAAGTAAATGCCCTGAAACACGGTGCAAATTCAACTGTCAGTCAGTGGGGAGAGTCAGTCTCAGTGGGAAAAGAAAAGGTTTCCGTTCTGAGGAAGGGTCACCGGACCCGAAACGTTAATTCTGCTTTTTTCCTTCACAGATGCTGCCAGACTTGCTGAGCTTTTCCAGCAACTTTGTTTTCTGTTCCTGATTTATAGGATCTGCAGTTCTTTCGGTTTTTTAGTTTAAAATTTCCAGTCTTCTTCAGAACTCAGCACTGATTGCACCAGAGATAGTAGGAACTGCAGATGCTGGAGAATCTGAGATAACAAGGTGTAGAGCTGGATGAACACAGCAGGCCAAGCAGCATCAGAGGAGCAGGAAGGCTGACGTTTCCGACCTAGACCCTTCATCAGAAACTGATTGCACCACTTGGGTTTTATTTCAGATTTCCAGCATCTGCAGTTGTTTGCTTTCACTCCAGCGAGTCTGCACAAAGTGGAAACAAAATAACATTTACTCTCTGCATTAAGTACCACACATGGCCAGTTCACTCCCTGAACTTTCCTCCCATTCAAACTGCGCTAACATGTGCGTCGCTGGAGGGCAATAGGAAACTGCTGGAAATACTCAGCTGGTCTGGAAGTGCCCTGTTTTTACTAAGTAACCAGGTGGCCTGAAAAGTAGCAACCTTCTGGAGGTGGTAGACTTCCTCACAGCCTCTGTACTGCTTTTAATGCTATAGTGTGCATTAACGTTCAAAAGGTCATAGCAGGCAGGGGTAGGCGTGGCGCCGCTGCAGTGAAGTGAGTGTAGCTGGAGGAAGGGGGCGGGATCCGGGAGCTGGCCGCTGGCAGGAGAGGCTGCAGCCGGAGGGGGAAAGCGGGCTCACTGCGAACAAGATGCCGAGCGGAGACGCGCAGCTCTGCACCAGCTACTTCAACATCAGAGGCGACCTGGTGCAAAGTTTCAGGTGTCCGAGGAAGGCGGACGGCATGGACAAAGTTTACTGCTGCGGCTTCTTGGACCTCAAGTACTGCTGCAGCGAGTCTGATAACTATTTCCCCTACTCGCACGGCTACATGTGGTCGCTCAGGTAAAACAGACTGAGGGGCATAGGGAGGAGATACAGAGTAGTTGGTGGGTGGTGGTAGTGTGGGGTGTAATGTAGTTTCTCCAACTCTACCCAGAAACTGGGATTGAATATTTGGAGCCAAATTTGTCTGGAGCATTCTGAAGTTTTTTTTTGTAGTTTCGCCTTACACTTACAACAGAGAGAAACTTGCAATTCATAAGTCGAGCATCCGTCAACAGTTGGTAACATTGCATTAGTTTTGAAGTGTGATTAGCTACATTCGCAAATGCAGCAGCCAATTTTCACAGACAGCAGGGAATCGAGACACCAGTCAATCTGCTTTTTCTAAAATTGTGGTACGAAAGGCTGCAACATTTCGTCCAAAAAGCAGCACCTCCATTAGCATTGCACTGAAGAGTTCTGACTCAGAAATGAGAGTCATACCATCTGAACCGAGGTAGCAATTGGGCGAACTAAGGTAATCGTTGAGATGGTTTATTTGTGCCCACGGTATTGATTTGGCAGCATTGTTGGGGTACCTCAAGAACTGGAGAGAGGAGTTCGGCGCTACAGCGCAACACAAGTAAAGCCGTCAATGTTCAAGTATTGGATTATGCCCCTTTCCACCCATCAATATCCACCGAATATTTCCAAGCTTGTTCAGTAAAAGCCAAGTGTGAGGTTTTTACAGAATTCAACACTGGATAGGTGTTTAGCCGGAAACTAAGTCAGCGAGCTAAATTCACCGTATAATTGATATGTGGTGGCTGGTGTGATTCAACCAAGGGACGTGTGACAGATGCATGAAGTATCATCCTGCATTCGGCGTATCCAGAAGGAATACACAAGTGAAGTAACAAAATATCGCATTTCTCAAGCTGAAACATTCCACAGTATGTGGGGAAAACGAGGGCTGATGAAATGCACCTTTTTGCTTCAGAGAAATAGAAAAGCAGTGCAATAAACAAGCACAAGGAAGGCAGCAAGAAATAGAAAGAGTTAGTTTAAGGAATTTAGGTGATTCATATACAAAGGTAGCAGATGGGGAGGGTACCTGTAAGCAATACCATGATATCAATAAGGAGCATTGGTGCAATGAGGAGAAATACCGAATGGTAATTGTAGAGTATTCCATTATCAGTGAATAGGGAATCCATTTATGCAGCTGCAACTGTGAATCCTGAATTATTTTCTGGGCCTTGGCTCCCACTTGCTTGGGTAATGACATTAAGTTTGTGCAAGAGATCCTGCACAGTTTGTGGAGTAAGCTTAGATTGCCTTCGGCCCTGTGGACAATGTCAACAGTTAGAATTTGGTGTTCAAGCAAGATTGTCTGTACAATACCATCTTTAACACCTGCACTGACTACATTTGGGAAAAGACATCAGAGGAATGCTGTTTGGCTTGAGGCTTATTGGACTGAAATGGAGCCAGTTAGTGAAACTGAAAGGTGCATCAAGAACAACAAACTAGTCCCAGGAAACGAAATTTAAATGCACACAGAGCTGGCAGAAATCAAGTCGTAGCAGACTGATTGACAGTGCACCAGTTAATACTGGTTGAAACTGCAATAATATACAGTCTGCTGCTGAATCCAGGAGGTGCGAGGAATGCTTGACAGAGTGAAGGAAGCCTGCAGGCTAGCCGCAACTAAATCAGCTCCCTGGAAGACATAAACAATGTTTATCATCACTGAACTTATCAAACGGAAGGAAGAGTAGGTGGAGCCCTATCTTGGGTGCAACACAATAATGAACATTGGTGAAGAAGCTGTCAGCAGTATTCCAGACTTTCCCACCATGGGGGAGTTGTGTAGTGAACTCACCACTATAGAGATCAGCACTCCATTGTGCATCTTGCCAATCGTAAATCCCTAGCAAACAATGATATTGCACTTGAAATCATTGACTGTGGAAAGCCAGGGTTGCTGTAGTGAGCCCCATGAACTTTTGTACCTCTGCCAGAAGGAAAGATTTATTCATCAAGACATGAGTAAAGTAAAATTGGGGTTTCGGAGCCACTGATATCTAAGATAGGCTGCCAAGTATTTGTAAGTAGTTTGAAGATAGTTTATTAAGAAGCAATAATTTAGGTATGATTCATTAGCTAAGGAGACAGGAAATGTGTACAACTCAGTTTTATTTGAGGATGGTTCACCCATCCAAGAAGATGAATGGGCACTTGGCAAACATTTTGCTGTCAAATCACAGTGTTAGGAACTCTTCCCTTCAACTTCCTGGTCCGTTTTCCATATGAAGATGCTTGTGTCTAATGAGGTCTGCAATTGATATAGAAGGTTACCTAACAAGGACTGCTCCATAATTCCATCCACTCATTAATACACTTTATCCCTGGAGACTGTGAGTTTAACAGACAGGTTCCTGGAATGGCAGGACTGATGAGAAATAGGAACAGGGGTAACCCCTCCAGCCTGCTCTGCTGTTCAATAGGATCATGGCTGATCTGACATTCCTCACATCCACTTTCCTGCATTCGCCTACTGATCAAGAATCTATCTATCTCAGCCTTAAACATACACCCCTCAATTTTCTATGGCAGGGAATTCCAAAGACACTCAACTCTTTGAGAGAAGAATTCATCATCTCGGTCTTAAATTGGCACCCCTTTATTCTGAGACTATATCCTCTGGTCCTAGACTCTTCTATAAAACCGTAAGAAATAGGATCAGGCTTAGGCCATTCAACCCCTTGAGCCTGCTGCAGTATTCAATAGGACCATGGCTGATCCGACATTCCTGACATCCACTTTCCTGCCTTTTCTCATAATCCTTGATTCCCCTCCTGATTAAGAATCTGTCTCAGCCTTGTATACACGCAAGGACTCTGCTCCCACAGCTGTCTGTGAATAGAAGTTCCAAAGACTCTCAACCCTTTGAGAGAAGAAATTCCTTCTTATGCCAATCTTAAATTGACACCCCTTTATTCTGAGACTATGCACCTCTGGTCCTAGACTAAACCCTGAAGGGAAACATCCTCTCAGCATTTACCCTGTCAAACCCCTTAAGAATCCTGTATGTTTCAATGAGATCATGTCTAATTCTTCTATGCCCTGATGAGTAGAATTCCAACCTGTTTACCCTTTGCTCATAAGACAGTCCCTCCCTACCAGGAATCATCTGAGTGAATCTTTTCTAAACTACTTCGAATGAAATTATCTATTTCCTTAAAAAGGGGGTTCAGCTGCTCTCAGTACTCCAGATGAGGTCTCACTAGTACTTTGTGTAGTTACAGTAAGACTTCATTACTCTTATATTCCAACCCCCTTGAGAAAAGGGCCAACATTCTATTCGCCTTCCTGGTTACCTGCTGCACCTGTGTGTCAGCTTTGTGTTTTGTGCACAAGTAGCCCCCAGTCCCTTTGTGTTGCAGCTTTTCTCCATTTTGTTTTCCCTTCCAAAATGAGCAACTTCACATTTTCCCACATTATGCTACATTTGCCAACTTTTTATCCATTTACCTAATCTATCGATATCTCTCTTTAAACTGTTTGTTTCCTTTTTGCAACTTGCCTTTCCACCTACTTTTGTATTGCCTGCAAATTTGTTGACAGTACATTCGCTTCCTTCTGTACACGCTTCCTTCCTTCCTTCCTGCAGTCCCAGCACCGATACCTCACTGGTCTCGGGTTGCCAACCTGAAAAAGAACCCTTTATCTCTCACTTGCTGTTTCCTGCCCATTAGCCAATTCTGTATCCAGGCCAGTATGCTATTTCCAACACTGTGGGCTCTCATCTCATGATTTAAACTTTTGTGAGGTACCTTTTTGAACATATCTGGAAGTCCACACTATTGGTTCTCCTGGCGTATGAAGAGAGATAGGATCAGTTTGGACTGTATTCATGGAGTTTAGGAAAATTAGGGGGATCTCATAGAAACTTAGGAATTCAACCGAACTAGACAAGTCAAATGCAGGAAGTATGTTCCCACTGACTTGAGAGTCGAGAACCAAGGGTCAGAGTTTAAGGATAGGCTATTTGGGGCTGATATGACGCTCTTCTACAGAAAACATTTGAGGGCAAAACATTGAAAGCATTCAATCAAGAAGGAGTTGGATATAGCTCTAAATTTCTATGTTAATAATTTGCTTGAACTTTTCTAACCAATGAATGCAGGGTACCCAAAACATAGATGTTCATCTCCCATCATGGCAGCATGGTGGCTCAGTGATTAGTACTGTGCTGGGTTTGTTTCCAGCCTTCGGTGAATGTCTGCGTGGAGTTTGCACATTCTCCCTGTGTCTGCATGGGTTTCCTCCAGGTGCGCAGTTTCCTCCCACAGTCCAAAAATGTGCATGTTATGTGGATTGGCCATAGGAAATGCAGGGTTACAAGAATGGGGGGACACCTGGGTGGGATGCTCTTCAGAGGTTCGGTGTGGACTTGTTGGGCCAAATGGCCTGCTCCCACACTGTAGGTATTCTACAATTCAATGATCATGTCCAACTCAGCTCGGGGTCAGCTTTTTAATTTATGTCATACTGACGTTAATTGCTAATCCTTACCATACAGTTTACAGGTAGGAGAAACACAAATCTCCATCCTATCAACTCAGGAATGTCAACATTGAAACCTGAACCAAGAGGTTTTAATATTTCCAGAAAAAGAAAGAAAGCAGTTTGTCTGTTGAGGAGACTTAGCTATGTCTACCAATTCTGATAAAGTACTGTTTGTCTCAAAAAATCCTAAAATGTATAATTTAATAAAGGCCCTATTTCTTACAGTGATGCATAAATAGCCATCTTATATGAAAACAAAGGGGATCACAGTGACGGCAACAAGTACTGAGGCATCTCCTTGTTAAGTATTGTGGGGAATTGTGAAAAATATAGTGCTCATGTTGCTGTGACCAGACAGCACAGAGTGATATCCAGAGTCTCACTGCAGCTCCAGAACTGCCAGATCAAAAGTTATCATGATTTTCAAACTTCAGCAATTACAGCAGGACCTCTGCAAACAGCGCAGACTGCTGGCCCTCATTGATCTTGTCTTGTCATGGACCCTT